GTGTGTGTGTGTGTGTGTGTGTGTGTGTGTGTGTCTGTGTCTGTGTCTGTGTCTGTGTGTGGGGGGGGTAGAGTGGCTGACATTTGTTTTTACATTTTTGTTAATTTGATTAATGGAATTATTTCTCCAGCTTAACTAATTTAAGCTAACACTTAGAATTATGAGAAATAAATGATTAATCATAGTCTTTAAATTCTGATGACAAATCCAAACAAGTAAAAACACCATATTCCACATTGTAGCAAAATTCTAAACTGGGGGTAGGATTAGGAGGTTGGTTTCAAAAGTACTTAGGTCTTTTCTTGAAATGTTTTAGTGCTTGTATGTATTTGCAGTGTGTGCACATGTGGACATGCACACAATGATGTTTTAGTGCTTGTGTGTGTTTGCAGTGTGTACACATGTGGACATGCACACTATGATCTTTTAGTGCTTATGTGTGTTTGCAGTGTGTGCACATGTGGACATGCACACTATGATGCCTGTGTGGACATCAGAGGGCAATGTGCAGGAGACGGTTTGCTCCTTCCAGGCTTCAAGACTTGGAAGGGTCCTCAGGCTTGCCAGCAAGCACCTCCCACCGAGCCACCACACCAGCTGCTAGCTTAACTTATCATTGTTGAACAATAAAATAATGATTACAAATTGTTTCTCTGAAATATCAGATAGGTTTTACCATGGGCCAATAATAATACCCACACTTTAACATTTAATTTTTCAAGAAGCTATTTTTTCTAATGGCAAATGCTGAGAATTATAGGAACCTAAATGTGGACATGATGCAGCCAGCATCTTTAAACAAATGAAGGCCAACTCTCCCTGGAAATATGGTTTAGAATACTCTTCATCCCTGTGAAGGCTCATCTTCAGCAAAGATGGGACAGTGTCCTGTGAAGGCCTGCCTCCCTCCGGTGCCCTCCCATAGAGGTGGCTCCTCAACTCAGGGGCCAAGACCCAGCATGGCCTCCTAAGTGTGTGTTGTTATCTTGTTTGTTACAACTCTTGCAAAATAACAGCAGTTAAGATAACAGGTCACGTGATCACAGCTTCTGCCTGCAAACTCACGCCATAAACTAAGTTCCAAGGCTCAGCCACAAGCCTCTTGCCTCCTACTAGAGGTTATGGGCATCACAGAGGAGAGGTTGGTGACTTGGAACAGGCTTACACAGGGCATGTTCATGGAGAGACTCGGACACACCAGGAACTGGGTCCCTCACTCCTCAAGTCTTGAAGGAAAGGGCCTTAGAGGTGAGAGTGGGCAACCAATCACTTCAGAGCTCCCCAAAGCCCAGGCTGGCTCAGTCTCGTCACCAGAGACTGGAACACAATCTGATATGGGAAACTGAAATGCTGATATTCAAAATCAGTGTGCACTAGTCACTTTTACAGTTGCTGTGTCAAAATTCCAGACTAGGCAACCTAGAGGAGGAAGGGAATTTTGGCTCACAGTTCAAGTGTACAGTCTATAGTCACAGGGAAGTCTTGGTGTCAGGAGCTTCAGGCAGCTGTCACACCGCATGCTCTGTCTTCGCAAGGCGAAGGAAGGAGCGGCTGGAGAAAGAGAGCAAGCAGCTTGGTTCACCCGTCTATGCAGGCCAGGATCCCAGCACTTGGCCTGGTGCCACCCAGAGTTAGTGCTGTCGTCACACTACACCTAGCCTACTCTGGAAGCACTGCCACAGACATCTAAAGCTGGTCTCCCAGATGATTCTAGATCCTATACATTGGCAATATTAGCCATGACAAGTTGTTCTCTGGATCTCTGTATCAAACCTCAATGCACCAACAGGCAGGAAGAGCTACTGGGAACTGCATGTTCGCAAGACTGCTCAAGCCAAGACTCTCCTGGATTACAAATAAGTAGCAATTGGCCTCTCAAACAAAGCAAAATCAGCACACACAAACCCATCAGCACATCCTGAAAAGGCTGGAGGAAATGAAGACAGAGGCCCGTAGGGCTGTTCCTTAGCACAAGCTAGGACTGGCAGTCCCTGATGGGAATGGGCCTGTCCACACAGAGAGACAAGCAACATGCTGTGGTCTCTGTGTGCTCTCGCGCTGCTTGAGGGTTTTCTTCCATTGTTTAGACAACTGTCCATTGCTAGAGTATCTGGCAACAGAGACTCCCTTACAGTGTGTGTCTCCCATGTCAGGGGTGGTGCCTTCCAACAATCAACACCACATAGGAGAGGAGACGCACCCCAACCACAGTGAGACCCTTCTCCAAACTCTACATCCAATAACTTGTACTATTCACACTCAGCGCACACTCAGCTGGCCTCAAATAAGTTAAAGCTGACAGCAATTAAACATAGAGGCTGCTGCGATCTTTTCCTCCAAGTTACCTGCTCACTAGGTATTCCTACTGGTGTTGCTAAGAGGCTTCTTAAACGACATGAATTTAATCTAGAAATGGGATCACTCTGCTCCCCTACCCAGGCCTAGGGATGAGGACCTCAGCTCTCAGATCCCTCTCGTTCCTTGTCCACTATCCAATATGAATATTGACTAGTTGGTGCTAGGTTGGTTACATTCCTAGCATTAATAATGGCATAAGCTAGTTCTAGACTAACATGTCCTAGATTCACAACTGCACTTGTGAATGAAGTACAAGAACCAGGAGGAAGGAAGACCATAGCTAATGCCCCAACCTATTAAAAACATGTTCTTCTAACAATGAAACTACTTAAGACTCCTACAGTTCCAAAATATGTTAACAAAAATGGGATTGCCATAAAGACCCAGAACATTCTATGATAAACAAACAAAAACTACTTTTCAAGGTAAAGGAGAGCACAGGGGCACTGAAGCACATGACCTTAAAAATGGAATTAAACCAACCAGATACTGTAAAAGAAGGATGAGTCAAGCTGGGTTAAACCCTAAGGCCTGAGAGCCGCTTCTGTCCTCTCAGACAGAGAGTTGGCCTGCTGAAGCTCCCTGGCAAAGCAAGTGCAAGCCTGGGGCTGGATCCACTCTAGCAGGATATCAGCACCAGATGACCCTGAGCTTGACAGTAAGAGGGGGGGAGCAGCCAGTGTCACGAGACAGCACCAAGTGTAGAGACAGAGGTCACATCAGTATCTTTCTCTCTCAGAACCAGGAAGTACTAACAATTCAGATAAATACTCAGGATAAACAAAAGTAACTCTAGAATAAGCCAGCCCACAATCTTGGTAGACAGATCATAGGAAGCATCTATCTTCAGGTTTCCCTATGGGTACAGGCTGGAGAAGAATTAGTCTCATCAAGCAGGGTCACCAGTTCTAGGACGCTGGCTGGTTTTTGGCAGATCTACCTGGTGCATCCTGGTCCATCAGACACACTTAGCAGATGTGGGCCTTTGGAGGCCACGTGAGCAGAAGAGCCTAGGAGTCACTCTAGCTGGGACACCCAAAAGCAGTTCTCTAGTCACATGGCCTCCTGTCACTGTACCCGGCATACCTCGGGGGACTCTTCTGCAACATGTGGCCATTAGGTCTGTTGGAACAGCACTAACCAGAAGCAGGAGAAGCCCTGTCTGTGCTGGGCAACCGATTTATTCGCTATTAGGAGAGGTTATAATCACTTTAAATTCTATCACCACCACAAAGGAAGTGCTTTATATGTTTAAACCACACAATTGTACTGAAATAAGCTAAAAGAATCCTCTCAAGTTCCTAGGTGTGTCACTACAGGCCTTAATCCTTCCTTTCATTACAGGACACGGCACGCTTTGGGGCCAGGCACACAGACCTGGATCCCTAGCGGTGTGAAGGAAAAAGACAGTGGGTGGGATGGAGGGCTGGCAGAAGGTCACAGACAGTACAGACTGTCAGCCTAGGGTAACAGAAAAGAAACCTTGAAGCGTTGTACTGTCCCCAGAGCCACACTCTGTACCAAGCACAGCACGGGGCTTTATACTTCCTGTGCACATCAAATGACAATCTCCATAGTCATACATACTCTGGCAGGAGAGGTGCTGGGGGCAGCACACAGATGCCGATGCTCAAGGGCCTGGCTTTACCAGGCCATACAGCTGGGAAGCATCAGGTCAACATCTTTGAGAGGCATCTCTTACAACGGAATCCAAAAGTAGTGCTCTTAGGAGGCAGGACAGGATTTATTCCCAGGCCAACGTAGACCCACACACCGTAGAAAGTAACTAGGACTTGTAATGTATTTGCCATTTTTAGTCACTGCCAACTCCCCCTCCCTATCAGCCATCATGGGCAGGTCTGCAGCAGCTGATAGCTAAGTGGCCTCCTGCTTTCTGGTCACCCACGGACAACCCTAACTGACATGGAATTAGTCCACTGCCCACATCATACACAGGTGCTTTGGAGAACCCTGTACCCCAACTGTTTGCAGACACCAATTTGACAACCAGATATGCAGCACAGGACATACTTGTTTAGGGGCATCTGTTGAGGCTGTGTGAACTTCAGAATCTCGTGGACCGTCACACTCAAATGCCACTGTGGGAAGAAAGTGTCTGTTAGCAGAGGGCCGATGAGATCCCTGAGCATCCATCAGGGAGGGCTTTAAGGGGAAAAGACTGTCGTAGAAGCACCCAGCACCCAGCCTGCGCCTGGAAAACTTCAGTTCCTCATTATCCTTACAGTGAGAACCCTCACTAATGGACGCCTGGGGTCACTAGCACTCCTGCTACACACACCACACTGTGGAAAGACATCCCTGGCAACACCGACTGTCAGTATGTGGGTAAGGGGACTGTCCTCTGCTCTGCTGACACTCAGCCTGTGTCACTGGGCATCATGCTGACTTCTGTGGACGTGTGTCACACTGCTAGACAGTGTACCCATCTCACTAAAACACCTGGCTCTGTTTTGACACAAAGGTAACCCATGCAGGTCTCAGGCCAGATTTATATAGAGTTCTGTAGGTGTTTCAGGACACCACTGATCAAACAAGGAGTCTCCATACACATATCCTTAGACTAGCTCTACCCATCAGGATGGGAGTCACCAGGCTGTGAGGTAGAAGGAGGTCTGGCTGCCACTGATGACAATGGCAACTGTGACTCATTAGCATATCCATTTCTGAAGGTCAACTCTTGTTAAAAGGAACATATGCAAATGGGTTTTTCTCAAACTAAACCAAAAAGCCATGCCAGGTACTGACTAGGAGACTGAGGGTCAGCTGAGAGGTAGACAGATGACACAGTAAAGCTCTGGCAAAGCTGGAACCTAAGGAGGCCTAGGGTGACAGGCAGTGACTAGCAGATAAGGCTCTGTGCTGGTCAGTCAGCCTCACACAGCCGACAGTCACCCGGAAGACAGACTCACTAACGAAATGTTTGGGTTAGGTAGGCCATGGGCATATCTGTCAGACAGTATCTTGATGGTTAACTGATACAGGAGGATCCAGTCCACTGTGGGCGGACCCATCCATAGACAGTTGATCTTGGGCTATCTGAGAAAAGCTAGCCAAGCATAAGCCTGTTAGTTAGTGAGCCAGAAAGCAATCCAGCAAGGGGCATTCCTGCATGGTGTCTGCCTTGAGTTCTTGTCCTGACTACTCTCAGTGATGGATCATGACATGGAAGTATATGCCAAATAAATCTTCTGCTCTCCGAGTTGTTTTGGTCATAGCCATTTGTCATGACATCAAAATGAGACTAGAAAATACTCCAGACCGCCTGCCCCCCACACACCCCCACACACACTTGGCACAGGCCAGTCACATGGCACAGGGCTGTGATACCTGTGTGTGCCCGAAGGTGGGCCCTGAGTTGGCTGGGCTGCTGGAAACTCTTCCCGCACTCCACACAGACAAACTCTCCCTGGCGGGCCTGTGTCCGTGGTGTCCCTGTTAGTGATGTCCCTGTCAGTGATGTGGTACAACATGGAAGAGAAGAAGGGACGGGGAGGGAGAGAGGAGGACATCGTTAGTCAGTCCAACATGTCAATGTAAGAAGCCACCACTGTCCCTATGACAGCTGTTGGTCTCATCTTGGCTCAGCCGACAGGCCAGGTACACAAGACTGCAAGGATACATAAATTACAGTGAGTTAAACAAATGCCCCAGAGACAAGACAGGGCCGGGTGTCACTGCTGGACTGTGTACACCACCCAGATGTCACCTGGCTCTGTCAAGCAGTGTAGCAAACAAATGAGAGTGACATCAGTGTCACACAGATGGTCTTGAGATAGCAGGAAGTGACTAGGACCAGAGCCCACTGTGCTCACAACAGCATCCCAGTAGACAGATGCAGAGCAGCGAACAACACTCACCCCATATCTGCCTCTAGCACAGGAAAGACACAGAACCCTTGGATGACAGCAAGCAGCAGCAAGCCCCCACTGTTGGACAAGGCAAGGCAGGACAGAGCAGCAGGCACCTTTCTGCCCTAGCCTGGCCCCGGGCTTCCCTCAGAGCCAAGAGCATCATGTGGCTTTGGCAGGAAAGACCTATAGAGGACCTCAACTATCCTGGGTCCCCTGCCCCTTCCTGTAATTCCTACTGCAAGGAACCCTGCTCCAGAATGTGTGTCTTCTCAGCAACTCAATAGAGCAGGAGCGGGAAACTGGAACGAGAGAAGGTCTCTTTCTTTGTGGCCACGGTTCTTTCCCATGTTTTCCTTTACCTGTCTGCTTACATCACTACCATCTGACAGGTGACACTTCAAGGCAAACAGATGGACACCAGCACACCTTCAGCATACCTTCAGGACTGTCCCCTGGATCCCTGAGCTCGACAGACACCACATCCCATTCCTGACTGTGCAGGTGAGGGAAATGAGTCTGCGCAGAGACCTGCAGACTCATGCACTGTGTTCCCTGTAGACTTACTCGGGAACACTATGAAGCCACTGACTGATCCTAACAAATCAGCGCTCATGATGGAAGGGGAGGGTGACCCGTGGGAAGGGCCACAGGCCCTGAGTGAGCAGCACATGTCACCTGTCCTTTTTCTCTAACTCTTGACTGGAACAATAATTTTCTACATGTGACCCTACAAATACAGGAAAGAAAAGTAAAACTGTGTCAGACTGCACTCGGCAAACAATGGAAAAGCAATCCGCAAGGCAGCAAGGGCAACTGCAGAGAGAGTGTGTGTGGTCCACACGCCACAGACAAAGCCAGGCACTTCAGAGCACAGGGAATCCTGGGCAGCGGAGCTCAGCTGCCAGTTAGCTCCCCTGGACTCTGCAGGTTAGTGTCCCGCGTGCACCTCAGCCAAGTGACTGACTTACAGGGAGCCTGTGAGGAACCATGCTTCTTTCTAGGACTACTCAAGTGATCTTGTCCCCTTCGTGTTCTACCGAACTCAACACCTAAGAACCTTCTGCTTACATCCCTTCTAGAATGTTCCTGGGTATACTTCAGGGCATCACAACACTTCATTCAACCACACACAGAGACACCGAGTGATGACCCCAACAGGGCCGACAGCTGCCCTGCCACAGCCTACTTCAGACACTATCAATCTTCCCACTGCTGTCCATGTTCTACCCGAGCACTGGGATGCATTCACTGAACTAGCACACGCAGCCCAACACACACACACACTCGCATGCACACACGCACGCCCACTAGCCCAGTTGCACACACACTAACACACACATGCAGCCCCACACACATATACATAGTCCCCCCACTAACACACGCATCCCACACACACTAACACGAACATCCCAAACACACTAACACACACAGCCCCCCACACACTATCACAAACAGCCCCCCACACACTAACACACACAGCCCCACACACTAACACACATACACACACTAACACACACACACTAATACACACAGTGCACACATCTACCAGCACGTTCACGTGACTATTTTAAGAAAGGACTCTTGCTTACTGCAGGCAATGCTACCACACCCAAGCTGCTGTACAACTCTGAGTTACTCAAAACTATCTTCCATTTGAACAGATTACCTTGGGAGCAAACAGTTGCAACCTGCTTCCCTAGAACCACAGGCTGTAGGAGACAGCAGTGTCCACTGTGAGAAAACAGCCCTGGCCAGGCAGAGAGACACATGCAGCCTGGCAATGTTTCTCGTTGCCTTGTGGAGTGATATGTAAGGAGGAACACAAGGCCGGAAGGTTACTCCAAAAATGAGACATTCGTGGCTGCCATATCCTTAGTGTAGATGATATTTTTAAGTTCCAATAAGGAAGTACTTTCATATTATTTTATCTAGATTGATCTCTTTTCCCTGTCTGAAGCCCATATTATCATGCAATACAAGCAGGTCAGACTGGAGACACAGTGACTTTTTATTACTACTGAATTAACAAAGCACTTCTGTCACAGCCGTGTTTCCAGACACTGTGGTCACTCTGTAGCAAGCCAGTGAATGCAGGGGGGGTTGTTCTGACAAGCTGGGTCCAGGCCCCTAGGGCAACAACAGTTACTCTTCTATGCTCTGCTGGAAAAGGAGAGGCTCTGCAGCCCACCCTCCGAAAGCATCATTCAGACCATCCAAAATCAGCAGCTCCTGCCCAGACACACAGAGCAGCATGGGCCACAAGAGGTGGAGGAGTGGGGCTTTCAAAGCAAGCCATTTCCTACTGTGGAGAGTTTGTCTTCACAACCTAAGGTTCTAGGAAAACAAGCTGAAGCCGTCTGCTCACGTGGTACTCTTCCATTCAAATAGAAGATATTTCCCTTGAGTAACTCAGATTTCACAGCAGCCTGTGTATGGGACCATTGGCTGCCTAGCTCACCGAGGTACACACTGGCAGGTCAAGAGCCATACATATGACAGAGGCCACCAGTAGGTAGGTAACTAGTTCAAATAGTTACTGTCTGGGTCAGTCACTGAAACATGGTGTGAACATCCAAGTCAGCTGCCAGAGGCCAGGCCAACCCAGAAGAGCTGCCAAGGACAAGCTGGCCTAACAAGTGGTTTCCTACTGTGGGTTCCACAAGGTTCTTCTCCAGAAGAATGGAGAACAGCTTCCTGCCCACAGCTAGCCGTTTTGCCACTTCACATGACAGAGAAAATCTACAACAGCACAGGGCTGCAGGGCCCAAGAACCATTCACACAGCCAAAACTGAGAAAGGAAAAGGGGAACCTCGCCAGCCAAAGATACACCCCCAAATCAAGTAAGAACCAGCAGGCTCCCCAACACCCACAGTCAGAGCGCTGTTACTAACTGGGGTCCCACAGCCCTGCAGTACATGTATCTAACAGTCTTCCCAATGCCCTACATCTGAGGCACTGGATTCCAAAGACAGCTGCTTCAGAGTAATGAAGCCATTCCTCTGTGACCAACACACCTACTCAGGAGGGCTGGGACCAAAGGAAAAGCAGAGAGTAGAGTGATTTGGTTTTTTGTTTGTTTTGTTTTGTTTTGTTTTGTTTTGTTTTTTGGATGTTTTGTGTGGTTTTTTGTTTCGTTTTGTTTTTTGATGTGGGTTCCTGCTTATATACTAAGATTGTCCTTGAATTTACAATCGTCATGACTTTATCTTAACTGGCTGTCTGCATTTCCCCATGTTATACACGTTAAGTGAAAGCAGCCTTCCCTTACATTCAAGAACAGGACTGTGGTACAGGATTACTGTAGCCAAGACATATCCAACTGGCAGGGAGAAATCTATTGGGAAGTTCTCGTGAATGCTACTGGCTGCTGAAACTCCGAACATCCGTGTGAAATGTTCCAAACCTTAAAACCTCATGCTTCTCAGCAGTGCCTGAACAAATTACTAACATCACTGCCCCCCACTTCCTCCTCCAAACTGCCTGGGGAAGGTTCCTGTGACACATAAATCAATGTTGTCTTTAGATTTGGGCTAGATTCTTAAAAGACTATATAGAGGTAACTATCCCAAAATCTCAAAGGATCTAAAATCCAAAACACAACTGGGCCAAGCACACGGGAGATTTGACCAGTACTGCTGTTAGCTGTGAAGAATGACACAGGAGGGGTGGAAACACCATTAAGTATTGCTTAAGGAATCAGAGGACAGCTCAACCTCGGTTCTTTATACATACATCCATTTCCTGCAAGACCCGGCCTGCAGGTATTGCTTATGCACCTCTTGTATGCTCTGTATACAAATGGAAGGCTTACTAGTCCCTTCAATGGCCAAGCGCAGTGAGTGTGTGCACCAATGATGTATATGTGACATGTTGTGTGGTTAGGTCTGTCTGCTTCTGTCAAGTTGCACAACAGAGCAAACAAGTGAGTTTCTCATTTACCAGCCACAGGAAGGGGACAGTCAAAGACTGCTGACCCACACACACAGTATCTGGAGAAGGAGACTTGTTGAGATCTAGGGTAGCCAGGTCAAGAAGAGGCAGCAACTTGCTGGTGTCTGCCCTGAAGGCTCAGGCAAGAAGGTAAGCATACCAGGACCTTCAGAGCAGCCAGGGAGGAGGGAGCCCACCCTTCTTACCTCTGTGCTCAGGCCCAGGGTTGCTGACACCCCAGCCCTGGTAGAGTGTGGTGAAGTCCTTTGGAATGTACGTCTTAAAGATACTGAGGATGTCCAGGCGTTTCTCCTGCCCCTCAGCTGCCGGCTCCTGCTTGGTGGAGTGTAAGGTAGGAGGCGCACCAGGTGGGGCCTGCAAGGCCGTATCCCCTCTGGACCCCACGGCACAGGCGGCTAGTGTTCTCAGCTCCTGGGCCACCTTCACAGGGGGTTCTCGGGGAGGTAGAGGAGAGCCTCCTTCGCCTTTCGAGGGAGGCTGACCCTGAGGCTGAGGGCTGAATTTGGCTTTCAGAGAGTCTGGGGCACTGTGCTTATTCGGAGGGGGAAAGCCAGTCCCCACTGCCGAGACCCCGAGTTTCTCCACTGGTTTGCTACTGGCTGAGGGCTGGGCACCAACACGGGTTATAACTGAAGGTGTGGGGGTGGCACTTCTGCTGAGGCCCCCACTGCCTGGGGAAGGTGCCAACCTGGAGCTGGCCTCCGGTTTGGGTTTGGCCAGGGGTCCCTGCACTGCAGCACTGGGCGGTTCCTGGCCTTGGCCAGCTCTGGTCTGTCGATATCCCTCGGGGCCAGAGGCCCACAGAGCACAGGGGCCCCCAGAATGGCTCTCCTTATTCTTAGGCATGCTAGCGGCTTTTGTGGTCACCCCAAGGGGAGAGGAGCTGCCCTTTGATCCTGGTACCCCACCTGGAACCTGGGTGCGGGTGAAGCGAGAAAGGAGCAGGGGCTGGCACTCCTTGCCCCCAAGCGCAGGCGGAGGGCCTGTGCGCCCACTGCGAGGGAGGAAAACCAGGTTGCTGCGAATGCTCTTGTGGCCACTGGGCTGAGTCCACGGAGGTGCTACAGAGTTGCAGCTGACCCTGTGCCAGATGCGCTTGTGCATCCACAGGACCTCAGGGTAGTAGGTCTTGTGGTTACAGTAAGGACACGGGTGAATGACCAGGGCCTCCTGCAGGGAGCATGCTTCCTTACTGCTGGGGTCACGTCGGCTCGACTTCATGCTCAAGTCCAGTGGGACCAGGTCAGGGGCGGATGCCCGCTTTCCTACCCCACAGAGCTCCTTGTACAAATCAGACAGCTTGTCTTTAGAATGCCCAGCCTGGCTGTCCAGGGGGTGCTGCGGGCTACTTATTTCCATGCTCGAAGGGAAATCTACCCGGTCAGTAGTGCTGGACACCTCCTGCTTGGGGTGAAATGCTGGCATCTTTAAGTCAAGAGAGTATCTATGCTGCTCGGGCCCCTTGGTGGTCTCTCTGCTGCTGTTTTCAAGTATGGACACAGACGGCGTGGCCATCCCCACCTTGGACTCGCTGATGTCTCTCTCTGGCAGGTTATTTCCAAGTTTGTGATTCTGGTCTCCGTTGGAGAGCATGGTGGGTGCCTCTTCTCCAGAAGAGCAGCAAAGGCGTGGCTGGCCCCCTGCAGGATGGAAAATGTAAAAGGGACGTTAACCCTCAGGAGGTGGTGAGGCTGGGGGGTGGGGTGGTGTGGAGGGGCTAGAGGAACACTAGGAGGGAGTGCCTGCCTCATCTCAGGACCAGGGCATGCATCTTTAGGAAGGATGTCCTGGGGTTGGGTTTACTCTCAACAGATCTGTCAGGAATGAACCAGAGAGTGGTAATAAATACTCTACCAGACAGGCTGTCAGTTTTCAATCAACTAAAATGACCTAAAGATGGGCAAAGAAATCAGACTATCTTGTTACATGTAGCTACACACCACTATTGATTAAAGAGAAGGTGACCAGTTATAATTATAAATTGAGGGCTGGTAAGAGGGCTCACTGGGTAAAGACACTTGCTACTTGCTGCCATGCCAAGCCTGAAGACAGAGTCTGATCCCAAATTCCACACAGTAAGCAGGGAGAAGCCCAGGCCCACACGGTTTAGAAGGACGCTGATGCCTACAAGTCAGCCTCTATCTCTACGTGCATCCTGTAGCATTTGTGCACTTCAGACACATGCACAAGTAACAGGAATACCTTCAAAAGAAGTTAGGAAAGGAGCCTCACTGTAACCACATGGTACTCTGCACAGGAGAGAAAGTTTCCAGAACCCCAGTGCCAACTTCATACACTGCGGCTACAGAGTAACTGGCTTAACCTCCTGACTCCTCATCGTGAAGGCCAATTTTCTTTTTTTTATTTTTTTTTACCTTCTTTTTTTTTAATTTTTTTTGAACATGAAATGCTTTTTTATAGCATGTTTTACGAGGGGAGGGGGTAAGAGGGGCCAGGTGGTGGAAAAATACAGAATCTTCTTGGCCTGTGCCTTGAAACATGTCATGGTCTATACGGTACACTGCCTTGAATTATGATCTACCTGCTATTCTTCAGAAGATATGGTAGAAGGCCAATTTTCAACTCTAAAATCTTGATATTAAGTCCCCTTCAAAGGCCTGTGTGCACACAGGCTCTGTTACTCTATCTCTACAGTGTCACCTATGGTCACCAGACAGGTGAGCGAATCCTGGGTGCAGCTCTAAGCTTGGGCTCCCACTGCTCCTGGGGAGCTCAGTACACTGGCAGTACAGGTAGCCTGAGGGTTCCACACACAGCCCCCTGCCTAGAAAGGACAACATGCTGGCTTTCAACCACCATGGTAAGGACTAGGCTCTGTTGTCAGTACTGCAGGTGAACAGGACATGGCTAGCAACATTTCCTTTAAATATGTACTGGTGTCCTAGGTTTATTCACACCTGGGTCTGAATCTTCAAGAAGTGCCCTGAAAACGTCCATGTCCTCACTAGAGAACACAAGGCTCTTTACCACCAACGAGACCGCAGTGGTCTTCAGCTCACAGCCCTAACCCTTAGAGCACACTGAGATGTCAGGTGGATCAGCCAGGATGCAGGTATGTACTCGGTTCTTTTAAAACGTTCTCTCTGTATTTTCAGAGACATGACGTGGTAACTTTGTCATAAAAACTATCTCAAAGGACTCTTTGTCAGGGCAAGAAAGCAGGTGTCACAGAAGGTAGTGGTCCCAAAGAGAAGGAACAGAGTACACACTCCTATCCACAGAGATGGGGGTGGGGGTGGGTGAGCGGGCGGGCATTCTCCCAACAACTGAGCCAGAACATGGAGGTCAGCAGAGCTACACGTTGGTAAGATGGGGGTGGGACAGCCACAATCTCACTCTGGTTAGCTCCAAAAAGCTGGCTGAAGACTTCTGAGAGACAGGGGTACCCTGCCTGTTCTGAGCCCATGCTAGAGTGGCCCAGAAACCACACTGCAGACACCATGGCCATAATCCTGAATGTAGATACCACTAGACTTTGGGAAAACAAGAAAAAAAGAAAAGGAACATGAAGGGGTTGAACCAGGCTTCTTAGAGGGGATGGGAAAGACTCACACTCTACTGGGAGGAAGCTGATACTCATGACAGATAAGAAACCACAGCTCTCCACAGGAGCCCCAGAACCATGGCTCCTCAGTAGGGGCTTTGGAAACAGGACCATGAAAATATCCTTACATTGTGATGCCTGAACTAAATAGCAGCTTTCTGCAAACAAAAGCTTTCCCCTCTAAGTTGACTTCCATGGGGCATTTTACCACAGCAGAAGTGGGAACCAGAATGGTTCAGAGTACTGATTTCAGTTCTCTCCTTCCAGGGAAAAACCAAGAACCTGACTATTTAGTATTTCACCATCTGAGGCATACACCATGAGTGACATTTTCTTTGTGTAACCAAACACTTCTGAATAGTTTACTGTTCAGTTTCAGGAGTTTGGCTCCACACCCCAAGTCCTGAGTGACTAACCTTCTTCCACCCACAGGATGACAGAGGAGAAACGTGTGTGTGTGTGTGTGTGTGTGTGTGTGTGTGTACATGTGTGTGCATGTGCACGTGCCCCCACATGCACACGCATGGTTTGTCAAACCCCAGATTCTCAGCTCAAACACAGGAGCAGCAGAGAGCAGGATCCACTCTGGAGCTCAGGGTGCATGAGACATCCAGGGTTTGAAAACCATGGATCCCCAAGCAGGTGGAGCATGGCCACCCTAGTCACCTCAGTGCCACCAGGTTGCAGATACATCTGTGCCTCTTGAGTATTCTCCATGACAACAGAACACACAGAGGTCCCTAAGTGGGTTACTCGGTACATTTGTGTACTGAGTCCTTGATGCATATACAGACTTGTCTTGCCAAATTCTCCAAACAGCCAAGGACTTGAATTGTTCGAGTGCTGGGGGCTAGTGGCTAACAGACTCGTCGGCACGGATAAAAACATAATCAGCAACTGATTTTGCTGAGAGAGCAAACCATCCCATGCACATTCCTGGTATTCTTCCTGAGGTAGTTTTTAAGTACTATACCCTGGGTTTGGCAGTGTACTATAAAAGTCTATGTATGGTGTGACTTCCCTCGTGGGAGGCTTCTAAACTGAACATTCAGGAGATAAGAAGAGGCCTGGACAAGCAGGTGCTCCAGTCTTGGGGTCAAGGACAATGTGGCTGACTCAATAAGGTCAGCTAAGATACACATTTGTGGAACTGCACAAAAGAGGAGAGAATGACAAAATGCCACACCATACACACAGGGCCCCATTTCCTCACCCACCCACACAGTGCCTCACCCACCCACACAGTGCCTCACCCACCCACACAGTGCCTCACCCACCCATACAGGGCCTCACCCACCCACACAGGGCCTCACCCACCCACACAGCGCCTATCCACACAGGGCTCCACAGCCTCACCCATCCATGACCACAGCAAGGAACAAAGGCCAAATCCTCCACTGGCAGCTCACAGAAGGCACAAGCCTGGAAACTGGCAGGGGAAAACTACAGAAGGAAAAATAGCAATACCGAGAGGAGAGATGGAAAGCTGAAGTGTGTGCCATGTGAATGACCCTAGACTCCAAGGACGGCACTAGACACCTGCCCTGAGGTTCAGGTCAAATGAAAGGCGTTTGGGCCACCAGCCCACAGGACACAACCCCAATCACCATGACCTCAAACAGTGAAACCAACAAATCAGAATCGCTACGGTATAAACTCCAAACAGCTTAAAATTCTGAAACATCAGAATCTTCAAGCTTTTCATTCTGGGTTAAAATTACAAACTGCTGAGGGCCAATGAGATGCTCATCGTTGGGTCAAGGAGCTCCAAGGAGAGCACGGCGCTCTGAGTTCACTCCCCAGAAACGTGTGGCAGGGGAAAGCCGGCTCCACACGGCCGTCCTCTGGCCTCCACACGGGAACTACACAGCACGTGCAGAGGCTGTATGTGCGTGCGCACACACACACACACACACACACACACAGAGAGAGAGAGAGAGAGGGGTGGGGGGAGGGAGGGAGAGAGAGTGAGAGAGAAGTTGAGACTTAAAAAAAGACATTTATTTACACTCTTACAGGAGGATTTTTTGTAAGACATATAAAAACGTGACAGAACACATCAAAGACCTCTTTTTACAACAATCCAAGTCATGAAAATATATGTATATAAGTATTCTCATAACCATAAACATCAAGGTACACTAGGGCATGTTATAAACATATACCGTGTTCATTAAGAAATCCAGAAGTACACTGTGTGACTCCCTCAATGGTCACCGCTGCATCAGAAATGATCCCACCACAGATACAACACGAGTAGTCTCTTCCTTCACAAAGGACCATTCAGGACCCTTCACGCACCCCATGTGTTGTTCAAAGTGAGTTCTGCAGTAAAAACAGCTTTGTCAACTTTGCAAAAACGCGTAAAACCAGCATGAACGCCATAGAGGTCTTCATAGGACAGATGTATCTAGTTCTGGGAACAACGTGAAGATGAAAACAGCATGATGAACGACTAAAAATAATGTGGACAAAACCACAACGGGGAACTAAAAAAGAAAATCCAATCTGTCAATCAGTGTAGTGGACTGGAGGGCCCCGCCCACAGTCAGGAAGGGGCCGTTTTCACAATATATCAAGTCCTGAGTGTCAGCAGGCTTTTCTCACTTCAAGAACAAGGCTCAGCTTAGACGGGAGACTCACAGATACACCACTCAGCCCTTTTCCTGAAATCACGGTGGTCTGACGAAGACAGCAGACACTCTGCCCTCCTACCAGACCTCTACACTGTCTGGGGCTAATGGTATGCAGCCCCTGCCCTTGGTTCTGAAGGTCATTGAGGGCCTGGTCCTTTTATTCTCTGAAAATGCACATTTGTTAAAAGTTATCTACAACAGAGTAAAGAGGAAGACGTGTAGAGAAGTAAGCTATCCCCTGGCAGGTCAGTTCCTTTTACCTTCTCTGGGGGTTTTGGGTTTTTTTGGTTTTTTTCAAAATTGGTTTTCTCTGTGAGGCCCTGGATGTCCCGAAACTAGCTCTATAAACCAGGCTAGCCTTTTGGTTTTCTGTTGTTGTTTTGGGTGGGACTTTTTTGATTTTGGATGGTTGGCATTTGGTTTGGTCTGGTTTGTTGTT